GCTCATCGATCGACAGAGAAGAGGCTGCAGGAGCAGAAGTGACTTGGCTGAGGTTTTGCGGGGACCAGCACCAAAGGAGAATGGAAGCCCTTGTGCAATGTCATCTGCTCTTAATGACAAGAGGATGTGGGCCTTGGGAGGTCAAGGAGCTCAATCAAGGTCAAGAGAGCTGCATTAACAGCAAAGCTCTGGCCTTGACTGTGTCTTGGGCACTGTGCTGACTGCTTTCGTGTCTCGTGTCCTTCAGTGAGGCTCAGCATCCTGTGGGAGGGCACCATGCTAACACAGTTGGAATTCCAGCCTTGATGATCACCAGAGGGGCCATCACAGGGAGGCCTGTTTGCAGGGTTGTGCCAATCTCACTCATCTGATCAGGGAGCAGGCTGATTTATGGCCTCAAAGCTCCTCTACCCACAGCCTCCTCGGACCAAAGGAAGACAGTATTCATTTAAGCCATCCATCATTTCTCTCCCCTACTTTCCCCACTTGTTGCATCCACAGGATCAGATTTTGAACTTGGCCCTGTCCCCTTGCCCACATGGACCTTTTGCTCCCATCTCCAGGTAGAGGTTTGTCAGCACTGTGCGTCACAGACCTGCTGTCTGTGTCTCTAGCCAGGACCCAGCAATAAGAAATAAGTCACAGACACCTAGCCCAATCGTGGGTTTACTTGGTACACATGGGCCCTGGTCTGGGCTCTTCCTTCTGGGTCTTTGGATGTAACTAATTCTGTGGATTCAAGTTGCCCTCTCCCTGGTAGCCTCTTGGGCCAGCATCAGTGCCTCCTCCAAGCCCCTTTGCTTGTGCCCTCTTGAGCATCACCCCCACTGCAGAGTCTGCTTTAGCAGCTCTGGTGTTTCCTCCTCACTGCCAAGTTCCTGCTTTTCCCCAGATGCTGAGGCTGTCTTTGGCCACAGCGTCTTCTCCCTACATTGTGCTCCCTAAACACAGCTGCACTCACTCAGGTCACAGGGTGGACATGAGAATAAAATCCAATTTCTTTTATGTGACTTAGGGAAGGCTCTGCCTCCTCCTGCCACCCTCAGCCCCTGCCACTGCTTCTCCTGCTCACCCTGCCCAATCATGCTTGCATTCTTTGGTGATGGTGGTAGTTTGTTTCTTTGAGCACACGTAATTTTCTTCTTTCAGGGGTTTTGTGCAGGTTGCACCCTTTGCCTGGGACACTAAGGCTTCAAAATTCTGCCCAACTCTTTGTTAGTCTTCCATACTCAATTTGATATATTGGTTTCTCAGAAGAGCCTTTTGGGACCACCTAGCTTCCAGAGTAATCTTCCATCCTGACATATGACCCTGTTATATTCCTTCATAACACTTAAAAGTATTGGGTTATACATTCCCCTGACACCCCCACCCCTGCAAAGGCAAACCCCTCAAATAAGGCCCGTGTCTTCCTGTTCTCGATTATATCCACGGCTGACACAGTTCCTAGAATATATACAGCATTTGCTACAAGCCTGTGCAATGAAAGACCTAATGCACAAGTTACCCTGAACGTCAGTGCCAGTGTTCCTGCTGATTAGCTGTGTGACTTGGGCTGCCACCTCCTTCCCTTGGGACTGCAGACTGTCCTCGCCCATTGTGAAGAGGAAGGAAGAGAAAGGAGATAGTTGAAGTCATCTGGCATCGGAGGGTTCCCCCTGCCTGTCCCTGCCTCAGCCAGTAAGAGACCCGGCAGCCAGCATTCGGGGGAGCTCATCTAATCCACAGCAAGATCTGACCTGTACCTCCCAAAGAAAGGGAAAGTGGGCTCAGGTCCGATCCCACTAGTATCCTTACTGGATGGAGCTGGGGGTTGGAAGATCTTGGGCAAAGCCTGTGACTCTATGAGCCACCATGAGGACCCACTACAGAACGACTGGCTCCTGGCCTTAGTCCCAAGCTGACTGCTAAGCAGAGGTGAGCTGAGCCCTTGCACTCACAAAGTTGGGCACTGCCCTAGCCAGAGCACCCTGGGCCTTGGGATAGGCACAGTGCTTATCATAAAAAGGAAACTATTCAGTCTGTGTTTTACATTTTATATCAGCCCACCTGAGATTAACCGCTTCAGTGCTCTGTTCAAACTCCGTTTTCGGACTAACGTGCGTAGTGTGGTGGGGAGTAAGTCTACTGCTAGGCTTGCACTTGATCCCAGTGTTTCCCCCAGCGCTTCTCCATGTCTGCAAAGTTCCTTGGCTCAAATATAGCTCCAGATGCCACAGTGCCATACTCCATGTGCTGTCGAATGGGATGCTGGGCTCGCAATAGGTCAGCCCCAAATCCAGTGTGGAGTCTGAGGGACTCCAGAGTTCCTGATATCTGGGGTCCCTAACTTGCCTCTGGGAGCACCATCTTATCTCCTCTTTCTGCAGTCTGGCTCTCAACGGTGGGGTGTGTGGTGGGCCTAGACTACTGAGTAATATCACAAATGAGTTCTCCATAGTTCAAATATTGGCCAAGCTACAGACCTGGTCCTGAGCCTATGATGGCTCTTATGGGAGGTTTTGCCAAGCACTATAGTGTTAAAAGATCCAGGAGTTTAAACAATATTTCTTAATATCTTCTTTTCTCGTTTCAAATTTAACTCCTATCACATCCTTAGTAGAAGCCTGCTGTGGTCAAAAGCCAGGAGCTAGGAGTTAAGGTCCAGCTTCTGCCCTTTCCCTGCTGCTAAGAGGGTGTGACAGATCCCTTCTATCAAGAGAAGAAGTGGGGCAGAGGAGCGGTAGATCTTTCGGTTCTAATATTCTAGAGAGGCAGAGCAGGTTGTACAAACCCCACTTTACAGAAGATAAAACTGAGATTCAAATCAAATGTGCTTTACGTGGGATCCCAGAGCAATCAGCCAAGGAACCAGCTCGGGATCCCTTTGCAGAAGTTTGTTCTCAAATTATTTCCAGGGAGCCACACTGCACAGCACAGACTTGGGGAACTTCCATCACCACCCATGAAGCGGGGCTGGATTGAAAATTATGCGTATCTGCATTACTTCAATTGATTAGATTGATCTCCTGAAGAGCAGGAGCCTTAGAATCTTCATCGGAGGCTCCAGTGCCTGGCACTGTGTCCAGTACCAAAAGTGCTCAGATATTTACTGGCTGGAACTGTCCCCTAGAAGGAAGTTTACCTCCCCTCTGGGAGCTGCGTCTGAAATTAATGCTGAGGACACCATCATGGAGAGCAGGGTCTGTGTTTGAGGGGGATGCACCAACCTCAGATGTGGCCAGGAGCCCAGCAGCAGAAATGGAAACTAAAGACAACCAAAACGAGCACGTGACCCAAGAGGGAGCAGAGTGGACGGAAAAGAGAAGACATTTCCAAGGGCAGCCGGCAGAGGGCGCCGCCTTCCCCACCACCGCTGAAGACCGTTCCAGCCGGGCAGCTGCCTCATTAGCATCAGGAGGCACCCCTGCTAATTACCAAACTCAAACCTGGGATTTACATTTTTATAAAATGCTCACACAGGAGGCAAATCTTTTCCCTTAAAAAAAATCAAGATAGATAGGGGGAGAAAAATCTCATACTAGTACATACTAATTCAATCTAATCTTGGTCATTTCAGTTTCCATAAGAAAGTGCTTTCACAAAGCTACAAAGCTAACATCCATAACTCTCCAGTTTCCCCAGACAGGATACCTCTGCATGAAGTTTCCCATTTATCTTCGGAGATGGCAAATCATCCATTTATAATGGGATCTAATAAAGCCAGCTCCCCTTGCAAATGCAGCTGCAGGGATGCAGTGCAGATCCAGAGATGTGGCTGCCTGGGGCCTGGGGCTGTTTAATCATCCTCAGGACCCCCGTCTAGGTGGGCTGGGTGTGCAGGGGCTGGGGCATCCGCTTACCTCAGGTGGTGTGTGTGTGTGTGTTAGAGGCAAGAAATATGATCCACAGAACCAGGTACCCTACTCCATCCAGCTGGTACCCACCATCCCACCCCACCCATGCACACTGCTACCCAGACGTGGCCTACGTCTTACTTCTTAAGGTGGGAAGTGCTCACTATAAAGAACAATTTTAGGTTTTAGAAAGCTGATTCAGAGGCTTTACTGAACCAGAGGGACAATATCTCATTATTCCTGCATGAGGCCCCTGGGCAGCCTCTAAGGTGGAGTGTCACCAGGAAAGTGTTTACTAAACAGTATCATAGTGTCCGTACAAGCAGCTAAGATGGACAGGAAGTAAACCTAAGTAGAGGGTGGAATCCATCTTTCTGATAGCCCAGAGGTGGAGCTCTCAAGTCCGGTCAAATTGTCCAGCCCTTTCAATCTGTGTATTGACCTCTTAGCAGACCTGGGTCAACTGAGGAGGGCACAGCATTGGGTAGGAGGATCTATGCAGTTGGAGGTGCTCTCTGAGAGGGCCAAATACTGACCACTTTCCCAGTAGCTCATCAGAAACTCCCTTACTGATGGGGGAGATAGGTGGCAGTCACAGGTTCCACTATACCTACAGAATATGTGTGCACCTTTCCCCTTCCTGTACCTTGAAAATAAGGTTTCATCATATTACATCTATGGGCATTTATGCATAGGTTCCAATCAGTGGCAAGACCTTGTCGCGTAGCTCTGTGCTTGCTCAGCTCTACGCCCACTGGTCCGGTGACATAGAGAAGTCCCTCAAACTAGGTCTGGTCAGCCCCTGGTTCATCAGCTGTATGAAACACAGGGTTCTTGGGTATTATGCATTTGGGTATGCAACACTGTCCTTTGAGGGGCACAGAAGATACGAGGTTCATCCCAAAAGGAGCTTATAACAACTGCTTTAAGGGCATCTCCTTACTTGGTAAGAAGGCAGGTTTGGCATACTCTGCTGTCTCTGATGAGTGGATAATGTCTGGTACCAAATCCTTGGCTAGGACAGGAAGACCTGGGCTGACTCCGAGGCCATTTCTGAGTTCAGTCAGTGTTTGGTAGTTACGAGTGTTAGAAACGGACCCAGCTCCCCACACGGGGGAGGGTCCCCTTATCACCCTTTGGGTCTCCCAGAAGCAGACACAGAGACCAAGTGCAAGTCATTCATTCTGGAGGTGACATCAGGAACTCCCAGGAGGGAGGTGGGGAAGAGACACAGAAGAGGGAAGGCGGCCAGTGAGGTATTCAGTATTGAGGTTACTAAGCAAGTTTCTGCTATGGAAAACCAGAGCTTAGTCCTGTTGGGGCCTTAGGAAACAGTGGGGAACGCTGGTCTCAGTGTGATGCCATCCAAGGGAGAAAGGAACTGGGACATCTGTACACTGGTTCCATCAGCTGAGGGTAGCTCCCAGTGCGAACGATTCCCTGATACTTCCTGCTTGCGAGTGGGCAGCACAGTGGACTCTGCGGGCAGAGGGAGCACACAAGAAGGACACACAGGTGCTAGCAGTTGACGACGGATCAGCCTGCACTGAATAAACAGAAGAATGGGGATACGGAGAAGACACCCACACCACCTGTAACACCCTCTCCTGCACCCCAGGGTTTGCCCACAAGTCCTCTGCCCAAACTTGTCTAGCAACGAAGAGGAGCTCAGTACCTCACGGGGCTCCATGCTGCATTGCTGGGCAGTCCCACTTCTCACAAAGTCATTGGCTAAGTGAAGCCCAAATCTGTTTATTATCTTGCCAGAACATTCCACCAGAAGCAGGACAGTTCTGCTATCTCCCCAACACCTATAAAGAACACCTGGCCACTGCTGGCTGGACTCAGCAAATGTTTTAGGGACGAGTGAATGCTTATATGCATGCCCAGCCTCCACCTCCAAGGACTTTAGCAGCTTTTTCCTGTTTCCAGTTGGCTTTTCCAATTATTGCCTATGTGACCAGATCCTCCGTTCCCTGTTCACCATGTGCTTAAGCACACAGCAGAGTGCCTGGAACAAAGCTGAGCTCCACTGTCAGTTCTCATTCATTCAACAAGCATGAAGCACACTCCTATTTTGTGTCAAACACTGGTGCTCTGGGCCTTTGCCCTCCAAAGCGTAAAACGTTAGATGGAGTTTGAAGGCAAAAATACTAGCAATGACTACAATTTTAGAAAGATGCTAGGTACTTAATCAGGAAGCCTGAGGGACCGCACACACAGGCGCATGCGCACACAGGTTTCCTAAGTCTTGTTCACAACTCACTGTGTATTTCCTGTAACAGAGCTGTCACTCTCAATGCAGACACTGAGGCTTGGCCAGTCCTTGAAACAGTTGTCAGGAAAATCAGCCACTTAATCTCTCCTGCCAACCTCCCCTAGGGGAAGGTGCACAGAGCCGGTGCCCTCACAGACCCACTCAGGGCGCCATGTTTCGTGGCCATCCAGTCTGGGGGAGCTTGGTTCTGACCTCCCTCCTCCAGAAGGAGTTGGGGCTCCCTCTGCCACTGGTGTCTCCTTGGAGATGTAGGTGGAGTTGAGGCTGGATTAGCTCTCCCGCCTGAAGTGAGGCTCCAGTGCCAGGAAGAGTGAGCTAGAATCAGCAAAGCAAGTTAAGCTCTCTGCCTGGAGCCCCAGGCTTAGCAGTGCAGATTACAACAGCAGGTGATGAGTGACGTTGCCGCTGCTGTGGAGACTGTGAAAATCCTGTTACAGGGCAAAAGCGTTTTAGCTACAGCTCCAAATTTCAAAGAATGATTGAGTTGGAACCTGGCAGGCAGGAGGCAACTGGGGACCAAAGTGATTTGACTTAAACTGAGAACCAGGCTTGAGAGGGCTGCTGGGGCAGAGAATTGCAGGAGGGACCCAGGCAGGCCACCCTTCCTCCTCTCCCCTGGGTAAAGTCCTGGTCCTTTCTCAGAACACGCACACTCTCCCTCTGCCAGCTTCCCCTCCCTCCTCTGCCCATCTATCAGCATAAGGAGCCTCCATCTGCCTTGAATCCTTTCTTCCTCACCAATCTGTAAGCTCCTGGAGATCTGAGCCAGAGGTTTCCTCAAGCCCGGGGGTTTAACACAGCTCCTGGCACATGTAAATGCTCAATAAAGTTTGCCAAATGATCAACTCATTACAGCATCTTCCTTGCCTTGTTCTGCTGGTTTCTAGATCCCCCACCGAGTGCTCCTGGAAACCCACATCATTATGCTGCTGTCCCTGGTTCCTTGGAAAAGAAGTGGCGCCTGGCTAGCAGAGCAAAATCCAACTGCAAATGAGACACTCGGGGTGAGGAAAAGGGTTTTAAGCCAAGCCAGGAAAAAAATGAGCCTTGAGTATTTGCTTTGCCCTACTAAATGGAGGAAATGATTAAATCATAGGATTTAGGTCTCTGCATCTAAAACTCACCGCCCACTAGCACCTCTCACATCGCACCCCCTGCCCTGCATTGGCTCTGATTTGCCTTTAACAGGAAGCAGTTTGTAGCAAAAGTATTTGAGCTAGGAGGTCATTGAGGACCTGGGTTCAAATGGTGGCTTTTTGAGTCACTGAACCAATCTGAACCTCTGTGTCTTCATCTGTAAGTTTCCTGTCTTATAAGCCATGCACCAAGATGACATCTATACAGAAACATCTATGCAGGTATCACAAAGTAGGAATTAATCAAATAATACTCTGCTGTTGTTGGAATCCCATTGCCCTGCATACCTAAGGAAATCCAGTTCACACAAAGCATGAGGTTTCTTGATCTGATCTGATCCTCTATGAGGTGCACGATCCTATATGAGGTCCCTTCTATGGACGGATTCTGGGGTTTAGAGCCAACAGGCCCAGTGTTGTCTGGCTAGGAAATACAAGGACCAGAACTGCAACCCAGGACTGAGGTCACAGCCGGGGACTGCTCTCCTCACCAAGATACTTCTCAAAAGCGACAATTGGTTATCACAAGGGAATCTTATCCTGGGTAGGGAGCCATTGTCTAGCAGCCAAAAACAGAAGAAGGATATCTTTTGTTTTCTCCCTCCTCTCCTTTCTTCCTTCCCGGTTTCTACCGTGCAGTGATTAAACAGTTGCCATATGCTCAGCCCGCTGCTACTGAATATGTGGGATATAAAAGATAGGGGTGAGCTGGTCCCTGCTGAGGGCAGCTTAAAGCCCAGCTGAGGAAAAGAAACGGCTGATTCGGAGCAGTGCTGGCACTGCCTGCAGAGAGCGAGGCTGCTCCAAGTGCACACGTGGGGTCAGAGGCAAGTGTCATGGTTGGCAAAGCCATGAGGCTTGAAGAAGAAGAGCTCCAGGCCTGGGAGACCCTGGGATGGCAAACGGAAGTTTCCAAGAGACAGACTGCCAAGCACGGAGCTGGGAAAAATGAAATGGGTTGCCCTGGGAGGATGAGTGGCCCTTCTCTGCAGGTACTCCAGGAATGTCTGTGGGACCGCCCTAGGCCACCACCTGCCTCAGCCTCAAGCCTCTCCAAAGGGATGACAATTCCTGTTAAAGTCCATTGTCAGAGGAGCAAGGGGATCCAGAAAGGTCAGCTCGCATTGTCTCCAGAGAAACAGGAGCTTTGCTGAGCCAGGCGCAGATCAGCTGCTCCCTAGCTCAGCTTAGCAGGGCTTCAGCCTCCTCATCTCACATAAGCCGTCCTCCCCTCCAGCTTCCCGCGCCCGGCTCCTCCAGGCCAAGATTTAGAGCGGTAGCCGCCTCTCCCTCCAAGAGAAAACAAAGGGGAAGGCGTACAAAGACCATCTGAAAATCCTCTTGTTTGCTCTCCTCTTCCAAGTCTCTGCAGAACACGGCTGGCAGTGTCCCAGACAAACAGGAAGCTGCCCTCTTCTCCGGCTGTGCCCTTTGCGAAGCCTCTGGGCTACACCTCCACCCCAGGAAGGTTCTGCACTCCTGGAACAGGGCAGAAAGTAACAGGCCAGCGAAGCACCCTGTGGCTGCCGATCTCTCCTTCCCCCACCTCTCTGCTTTATGCTCAGTGCTACCAAAATAAAGAAACCTCAAAGCCCCCTAATCTAGGAGCCCCCTTTCTCAGATGAAAGGGCGTTATCCTTGGGATCCTACAGCTCACAAAGGGCGCCCATAGTGTTCACTTCCTCCAGCCTCTGTATTTACTGTTTCCTGAAGATGACACAGAGATGTCGAGCCTGCAGTGACTGTTCAGGCTGGCCACTAACCCAGCTCCATGGGCACCTTAAAATTATGCGAGGCTTGCCCATTTCCCCTCTCCCCTTGGGCAATACAGCTTGCAGAGCTGGCACAGCCCATAAACCCCAAGACAGCAGAAAGAGGAGGTTTTGAACTACATCAGGAACAGATTCACGTCTCAGCGCCTGCAGTTGGGAATGTGATTCTCAGCTTTTGACTTAGATTCTCCTGTGCCAGTGTCCTTGTGGTTACATGGAGATGAGACTTGCTTGTCTGGCTGCTCCTGCAGCTTGAAGGACATGATATGTGCAAAGTGCCCCCTTTCCCTGCCTCTCCGAATAGCCTCCTGGGAGTGGATGAAAATGAGAATGAGCTTTCAAAAAGAGTAGAGGTTCCTGTCGGCCCCAGAGGCTGCTTTCCATGACTTACCAAGAAGTAGAGGACCAGGCCGTTAGCATCCAATTCCCAGAGATCCAAGTACAGGCTAACTAGGCCAGGAATGGTGAGACATACCAGTAATCCCCGAAATCTGAAGGTTGATACAGGAGGATCATTGCAAGTTCAAGGCCAGCCTGACCTGCAGAGTAAAACCTTGTCTCAAAAAGACAAAAGAAAAAACAAAGGAACAGAAAACCAAGTACAAGATGACCTCACTGCCCTCTCCAGCTAGGGCAGTCCTGACTCCACCAGCCATGCACCGCCTGGATGCATCAGGGACAGGGATGACCACAGCAGGAGAGCTGGCCGCTGCACTGCAGGGAGAGGCAATGCAATGGAGGTGTCTTCCAGCTGGGGTGCCAGGACCCCTTTCGGCAGTAATCAGGGTACCAAACTCTGTGGGTCCCCTGGAGGGGCTTCCCCTATGCCAAAAGACCAGACGAGGTGGACCAGCCTCACTGAAAAGTGGTACAAAGGAAGAACAATGGCTAATTTCAAACAGGAACTTGGATAGCCTATGGATGCCCACATATTTGGTCCGACGATGTTCTGAGTGTTCCGCCAGGGTGTTTCACGGTGAGGCTAACACTTGAACTGGGAGACTGAGTAAAAGCACTGCCCTGCCAGTGTGAGTGGGCCTCACCGAAGCACAAAAAGGCAGGAATAGAACAGGAAATCTGCGCCCTTTCTAGGAAGAAAGAGTTCTGCCTGGCTGGTCGCTTTGATCAGGAATATTAACTTTCTCCCGCCTCCAACCACAACATCCACTCTTCCTGATCTCAAGCTGTCAGCCCTGGGACTGGAGCTTACACTCTCAGCTCTCTCTGGTCTCTCACTTGCTGCCTCCTCCTGAAGACTTAGAGCCTCTCGGTCTCTGCAGTGATGTGATCCAATTCCTCTTAATAAGTCATGGAAATGGATATGGATATGGATATGGATATGGATATGGATATGGATATGGATAACAAATTCTCTTAGTTCTGTTTCTCCACAGAACCTTGACTAATACCAGAAGGATCCTACTTAACACGTTCCAGCACATGAGCTGCCTGGAAGGACAAGGGAGGAGCAGTCCTTCCCCTGGGCCGTGAGGGCAGGGCTCCAACCAGCACCCACCAACCCGGTAGGGTGTAGAGTTCTCTATTTTCCAAAGACCTTCCCACCTCGGAGTTTGTGCTTTTATGACAAGGACAGGGAGGCCTATGTGGCTATTTTTCATGGACATGGGTCAGGGTGGTGCCCCCAGGGCCAGAGCCATGTGAGTTCACTACTCTCGTATATTTTTCTCCTTCTGCTTAGATCATGTGACAAGTAAGTTTGTACAACTCCCAAGCTGGGCTCTCCTTGCACCATGATACTGAGGGAGAGTAAGCACAGACAGGGCTAAGAAACTCCGAGAGGCCGGGGGTGCATCAGGAGCGTGAGACCCAATGGTAGGCTGCGGGTCAGCTGAAGGGGATGAAGAGGAGTCCCCATGCCTGACCCCATCTCTGAGTTCCGTAATTCAGGATCGCAGCACGGGTTAAAGGTCCTTTGCTGACAGCACAGCGCTGCACGCTCTGTCTCCAGAAGGAAATGCAGAATGAACAATAAAGACAGAAGGGCTACTTCACCTGGAAATAAAAATTCTGATCTTTGTGTACTTTAAATAAAGATTTCAAAGAAAAAGCAGCATTTCTCATGCTTGAAATGCTTTTGGAATAATCCTGTTATGGTTAAAAAAAAAAGTAAAAAGGTGTGGGTAAAAGTGTTTTCTCCTTGGCTGTGACGGCACGTTTGGAATGAAAGAGAATCTTTTTAATTTCCACTCATGTCTTCTTGCTTCTCTCCCATCTCTCACCTCTCTGAACCTCTCCCACTTATCCCATTCCAGAATCTTCCTAAAATGTCCTTCCTCTTATCCCCTCACTGGCTCTGCTTGGACATCTTGAAGCAGACCTAAAGTGTCCCCCTGCGTGCTGGGTTCTTTACCACGTGGTGACGCAGACATGAACCAGCCAGGAGAGCGTTGCATGCTTGAGCAAGCCAACAAAGGGGGAAATGGCAGCTGTGGTGGAGCCGTCTGTTATGGTTTGGGGTGGTCAACTTAACGCCAGCTGGATTACATCAGCATGCATTGAGAGAAGATGCTCCACCTGAGGAGGGTTGCCAGGATAAATCGGTGGAGAAGAAGGGAGGTGTAGAGAGGGGGATTGAGGCGTTAAGGAGGCATTGTGGGTTCTCCTACGAGTTGCTGTCTGAGCTGTTGGTTCTCCTGGAGAAGCTTTGGGGTTCACATCAAGCATCGATTCCTGGCTCCGGAGAGGAAGACATG